CTATTACTGTCAGTGTAATATCTATTACTAGCAGTGTAATACTCTATTATCTATTACTGCATGTATACTCTATTATCTCATTACTGCCGTGTATACTCTAATCACTCTATTATGCAGTATAATATCTATTGACTGCGTGTAATACTGCTATTACATGGCAGTGTATACTCTATTATGGCAGTGTAATATCTATTACTGCAGTGTAATCTCTATTACCTATTCACCTGGAAGTGTAATACTCTATTACTGCAGTGTAATACTCTATTACGTGCAGTATAATAGTCTCTACTTACTCTATTACTGCAGTACATATCTATTACTGGCAGTGTTAAATCTATTACTGCGTGGTAATCTCCTATTATCCGCAGTATAAACCTATTCTGCAGTGCTAATACTCTATTAGCTGGCAGTGTAATACTCTATTACTCTATTACGCCAGTGTAATACTTATTACTCTATTACTGCAGTGTAATACTCTATTCTGCAGTGTATACTCTATTACCTGCAGTACAGTATTTACTCTATTACTGGCAGTGTAATACTCTATTACTGCAGTGTAACTACCTATTAACTGCAGTGTAATATCTAATTACTCTAATTACTGCAGTGTAATAGCTCTATTTGACTGGCAGTGTAAATACTCTATTACTGCAGTGTAATGACTCTAATTACTCCTATTACTGTAGTGTAATCTTCTATTCTGCGTGTAATACTCTATTACTGCCAGTGTATATACTGCTATTACCTATTACTGCAGTGTAATACTCTATACTGCATAACAGTATTTCTCTATTACTGCAGTGTACATACTCTATTACTGGCAGTAACAGTATTATACTCCCTATTACATGCAGTACAGTTGATTATCTCTTATTCTGCAGTGTAATACTCTATTACTGCATGTGAAACTCTATTACTCTGCAGTGTAATACTCTATTACTGCTAATAGATAAGATAACTGAAACATCTGAGGGTGAGAAAGTTTCAACGACCGATGATTTAATATCTCTGACATTAATAATGATATTAATATTAATACATTATTATTATTTATATCTTTATGAATTAATATGATTCATAAAGGAAGAGCATCAGATGTGATTTTTCTTTATTGATTATTGATAATGTGATTAACGGCTGTAGAACGGTTCCTGTCAGAGATCATGTGACTCTGGTTCTGCTTTCAGGACGCAGCCGAAGACGTTCGGGTCAAACTAGAACCAGACGGCGACGTGGAGATCGGGTCGTACCCCGTCCTCAGGAAGCTGTCCATCAGACTGACGGACTGCAGGGTGTGGCTGGAGGGGCGGGACTTCCTGTCTCTGGGTCAGAAATCTGAACGTAGAACTTTTATTTATATATAAAATATCCGTCAGTGTTTCCTGTAACATCCGGCAGTCGGAGGGCGTTTACAGCAGCCAGTAGCAGCTAGCGCTATCAGTCGGACCCGGGACCGTCGGGGACTACAGCACCGAGGAGGTTCTCTTGCCGGGTTTGGATCCTGGCAGTTAACCAGCGAGTCACTGAGCAGTTCGCTCCTGATCAATCTGTCCATCAGAAACTCTGTAACGGACCTCGGTGCTGTAACGTTATTCACTGTCGGTCTGCGTTCGATCCCGGTCCAGATGCTGAGCCCGGTTCTGTCGCTCGCTAACAGCAGATAGTCAGAAGAGAGAAAGCGTGTTATTGGACGCAGCATTAGTAAACGCCCCCGAGTGCAGGATGAGTCATCAAATACTTTTATTGATTCTCAGGAAACTGTAAAATAACTGAAACGGATTCCTGTCCCTGTTGGACAGGAGATAAAAACAGTTTAACTCGACCTCTGACCTCTGCTCCTCCACAGACGATCACCCTCAGCTCTGGAACCAGAGGCAGTGTCACCCGACCAACACGGGCAGAAAGATGGTCTACTGCTCTGAGTGCAAGAAAGGGTTCTATAAGGAGTCTCACCTGGAGGCCCACCTGAGGACCCACCGGGGACAGAAACCCAACCAGTGCTGGCAGTGTGGGAAGACCTACCCGACCCTGATGAGCCTCGTTCTCCACCAGCAGATCCACGACCGCCAGGAGCCCTACCAGTGCTCGTACTGCGACAAGACCTTCGCCCTGAAGAGGGACTGGAAGACCCACCATCGAACGCACTCGGGGACCAAACCCTTCAAGTGCTGGTTCTGTGGGGACGGCTTCAGCGAGCAGGACGAGCTCACGGAGCATCTGGAGCTGCATAAGGGGGAGAAGTGCTACCACTGCAAAGTCTGCAATAAGATGTTCGTCTCCTACCAGGGCTTCAACTTCCACCGCAAGTCGCACAAGAACCAGAAGCTTCTGCCCTGCCTGAAGTGCAAGAAGACCTTCAGCAACCCTCAGAGTCTGAAGCTCCACCAGGTCACCCACTCCAACAGGAAGCCGCACAAATGCCCCACATGTGGCAAAGGCTTCAAGCTGCTGAGCGGCATGCGCTGCCACCAGAGGACCCACGAGGACCTGAAGGACTACCACTGCACCGAGTGCGGCAAGTGCTTCTCCAGCCTGCAGGGCCTGAAGCTGCACAACCGCACGCACACTGGACTGAAGCCCTACAAGTGCACCGAGTGCGGGAAGAGGTTCACGCAGTCGCCCCACCTCAAGTCTCACATGGTCACCCACACCGGAGAGCGGCCGTTCCTCTGCCTCACCTGCGGGAAGAGGTTCACCCAGTCGTCCCACCTGAGGTCTCACATCACGCTGTTCCACGTGGGCGAGAAGCCGTTCACCTGCGACGACTGCGGGAAGAGCTTCACCATCGCTCACTACCTGAAGATGCACCGGCTGAGCCACACCAAGGAGAAGCTGTACCAGTGCTCGTACTGCGAGAAGGCCTTCTCCTACCACAACTCCTGGAGGGCCCACGAGAGGATCCACACCGGAGAGCGCCCGTTCAGCTGCCAGGACTGCGGCCAGAGCTTCATCACGTCGGGCTCGCTGCTAAGCCACCAGAGGTCCAAACACACCGGAGAGAAGAGCCACTACTGCATCACCTGCGGGGAGTTCTTCTTCACCAGCTCGCTGCTGCGGGTCCACCAGCTCGACCACACGGGTGAGCGGCCGCACGCCTGCAGCTGTGGCAAGACGTTCAAAACCAAAGGAGTGCTGCGCTACCACCTGAAGAGGTTCACCGAGCACCAGCCGGCTGAGTGAAACACCTCCTCTGGCATTCTTTAAGACATTGAGCACCAAAAAAGACTGACACTTCCTGAGGATATCATTGTCTCTGAACATCACAATAAACCTCCACTCGAGGTGTGTTCCCACCAAACACTAAATCCTCCCTTTAAGCAGTACGAGTACAAAATAATCCGATTTTACTACTTTACATAGTAAAGTAAAACCCACAGCTGGACTCAGTAACAGACAGATTTCCTCTCTAACCTCTAACCGCTCTCGGTGTCGATGTGTCGATCATAAAGCTCTCGGTGCTGTTTTCTAATTCATCATTTTATTCACGTTTGGTGGGAACACATCTTTTTTTTTTTTAGTTTCATTTAGTACCAAACTAATGAATGAAAGTTGTTTGTATATCCATGATACAATGCTAATAGCTGCTAACGGTAGCTGCTAACGGCTAATTCAGCCATTGTTAATGGAGACTGACTACATGTGAACTCATACAGGTGGTTTTCTGTTGTATTTTTTGTCGTTTAACATTAACTTTCTTTAGTTTTTTACAGATAATGAAATGATATCAATGATTTGAAGGTCTCCTCCTCCCAGCTGCTCGCTCTGCTGACTTTATGGAAAACAAACTGATGTAACACTAATCAGTGATGATCCACTGTTTGTGTCAGAAACACTTTTATTTCTTTATGATTAGAATCAAACTGAAAGAGAAACTGCTGTTTGATGTTAAAGGAACATTTTGTTGAGTCATTGTTTTATTCAGATAAAAACGGTTCGATCACTGACTGATCCTGATTTTATTATATGTGACGCGTTCCATCAGAATCAGAATGAGCTCGGATGTCCGCAGGCGGGGCCCGTTTGTGTAGAAACAGCGTTTTTACAAGAAAATAAAATTTTGGGCCTATTTTTCAGTTTTTACAATGTTTCTAATTACAAGTAAAGTCCTCAGGCTTTAGATGACTAATATCAAAATTAATGTGAAATTACAAAGATAAATATAGCTAGCATAAATAAAACGAAACAGGTTGCAAGAGTTTCAAAACACCCGGCTAGCGTGTTTGGTGTCATCTGCGTCATCTGTCCTAAACTGTCAGTTGTAGACAGCTGGACATCAGAGACAGACGACAGACTGACAGATTTGACAGATTGACAGAGTTGGACAGCCTAAACAAAATGAATTTTCGCGTTGACGAACGACAGTTGCTCGACTTTAAAATTTCAATTCCTGTAAGACTTATGCTAACTTTCAAGATCGACAACTGGATAGCCTTATTACGGACTATTCACCGCACCAGCAGCTGACAAGTGTCAGTGACACGCGCGGCTCGACCTCCGAGTCGTGATCGGATTTGCGCCACGACACGCACGCTCCGATCGTTGATGCGGAAGAAAGGTGAGTGTGACGGTAGGCGAGATGGAAGAATATCGCACTCATGGCCGAGCCAATGGTAGCTTACGAATGTCTGTATTATAAATTACTGTATATGAAGACAGTATTAAAGGAAATCGAGGTATAAGCTTGTGTAGCTGCAAACTGTCCACAACAGCAGCCCTTGGTTACAAGCTCTTCACAACCGGTAGGAGATGGTGAGAAGACGGGACCCAAATCAAAAAATGACCACATGTACGACTCAGCTTGGCTACATGAATGCTTGTTTTTCTTGTTTGAAAGGCTTTAGCGAGCCTAATAAGAAAAGAACAGGCTATCGTTGCCTGAAATTGGCGTTTAAACCTCTATGTATCTGGTGCTATCATCGGTGGGAGTGGGGCCGCGTAGTGTTATTACGTCTGTTTTCCTCGCTGGTGGCGCTATTCCTTGCATTCTTAACTTTCTCTCTCCTTTTTTATGCCTCTCTTTTTCCTCCATTATTTTTTATTATAATCCTTCTCTCATTACTAGCCACTTTTACATCTTCTCCTTTTTTCTCATCCTTTCATTCTTCATTTATTTATCTATTTTTAAATCTCTTCCCTCTCTTCTCAGCCTTTTAACTTCTTCCTCTCCACTTTTAAGCATCTTTATTTTTATACCTATGTTTTTACGACTTTTGCGTTGTTTTGTTGTGGTGTGTTTGATGGAGAGACGGAGGATGGATTGTATTGTGATTGTGAGGGTGTGTGTGGGTTGTGTGTGTCTGTGCTGACGTGAGTGTGTGTAGGCTAGCAAACGTTGCATTATGAGTGTATTTGAGAGATGAATAAATGTGAGGGCAGATATGATTATAGCAACATGAATAGCCTATAATAAAATGATGGTGTGTAAAACCATCTAACATCCACATGGTGAAGTATTTCTGAACATGGACTCATCATAATAGCTGTGTCCTTTGTAGGATGAAAAGACACACCTGGTTTCTCCTGGGGAAAATAAGCGTCCCATATGACCCCTTGTCCAAGAGTAGCAGTGTGCTCCAAGAAAAAGCCAGCAGAAGGACGTAGGCATCATGAGACTGCCTA